CGTTGGCAGGGATGTTGAGTGCAGCTTGGGAGGGCTGGCCTTGCTGGGCAGCCTGGAAACTGACATCCTGGGGAGGGAAGAGCCCTGGGGAAAGGAAGGGCTCGTAGAGAAGATAAAGCCAACAAAGACAATTTCAAAGTAGAGTGAAAAACTTTCATGCTGACCGAGAAAAGGCAGAACGTTGCTGTCAAATTATGCCAGGAACTGCCTGATTTCTGTCATAAAAGACAGATTATTTTTAAAATTTGCGATTCAATTATTCAAAGTTCAACATACCTCCTCAATAAGTGTTGGTTGACAATTGTGATTTTCCATGTTTCAGGTTGGGAATATGGAGCTACTCTAAAATAAACCTTTTAAGGATTTAAAAAAAAAAAGAGTGTAAAAGAGTGGTGACATCAAAGCTTAACAAATATTAACTACTATATATAAAATAGATTAAAAATACAAATTTCTTCTGTATAGCACAGGGAACTACATTCAATATCTTGTAGTAACCTATAATGAAAAAGAATATGAAAACAAATATATGTATATATAGGTATGACTGAAACATGCTGTACACCAGAAATTGAAACAACATTGTAAACCGTATCTCAATAAAATAAACACATAAATAAATAAATAATTTTTAAATGAAAAAAAAAAAGGGAGGAATAAAACAGAATGTTAAATATTGTTGACTGGCCAATCAAATGAAGACTTGAAAATGGCCTTTAAGAGTTCTTATATTTTTGAAATAGATACTGAAATATTGGGGGATAAAGGATATGATACCTAGTATTTCCTTCAACATAATCCTAGGGTTGGGGAGGGGGCGGGTAGCTTCCTCCAACAAGATCGCCATGAGTTGTCAATTGTGGAGACTGGATGTGAGCCCATGAAGGTTCACTGCACTATTCTTTCAACTGATGCATGTGTTTGAAATTTCCCATCACAAAATTTTTTTATTATTTTCCCATAATAAAAAAGTAGCCATTGGATTTATCATTACAGAGATCGCAAGTAACCACTGCATAAGTAGTTTTAGTGATGGCAGAAGCCAGATTGAATGGATTAAGTAGTAACTGCAGGTCAGGCTGTAAAGACAGTGAGTGTAGGAAATGCAACTTGTGGAAAAACTCCAGCAGTGGAGACAAGAAGGAGCTAGGGAGTAGACAGAGAAGGATGTGGGTTGGAAAGAGGGTTTTCTCTTCTTCAGAGTGGAGAGACTGGAGTGTGGTTATATCCTCATACAGCTGAGCCAGAGGACAGGGAAAGTTGTTGAATAAGGAAGGAGCCTGAGAAGGTAGGAGGAGATGGAATGAAGACTCTAATTGTAGAAACTGACCTCGGGTCTTCCTCAGATACAGAAGAGAAGGGCGCAGGCGCAGCCGGCCAGAGATGCGTGACAGGAGGCACAGGGCTTGTATATTTTTCTCTCAACCGGACAGTGAGGTGAGGGCACCTCCTGAGCAGGGGACGGAAAGGGAGGGTCATCGATAAGCATGAAAACTGTTTTCTGGGTTTTTTTTTTTTCAGAACCCTCTGTAGCTTGGTTCTGAGCGCACAAAAGAAGGTCCAGGTGTATCAAATCGTTGGAGGTTGGCCAAAGATGCACAAAAAAGACACTGAAAATGAGAGTTTAGGACTGTAGTAGGTACCTATTGTTGCAGAACAAATTACCCCCAAATTTAGCGGCTTAAAACCACAAGCATTTATGATCTCAGAGAGTAGCACACCAGCCTAAAACGGTGGTATTTCATAGACTCACCATCATTTCAAATTATTCTACTTACTTGATTTTGCCCACCTCCCCTCAATAAAAGGAAGATTCCTGAGAGAAGGACCAGGCCTGTCTTGCTCTTTGCTGTATTCGCTTGGTGTTAGAGGAGTATGAGGTAAATAGCCGATGATGAGAAAAATCTATAAATAAATGACTGAGTGAATGAGTGAAACCCACCATGAGAGAAAATGTTAGTTTCAACTTAGTGACAAACTTTTTTTTTTCTCTTGGGAGGGATGGAATTTCCAAGGGTGATTTATTAGTTTGCACAGAAGTTCAATGGTTGCCTAATTGTATTTTTCTTCTATTTTTTAATATATTTTTACTTATTTTTAAAATCTATTTTTATTATATTTTTATAAAATTTTAATATTTTAAATCTATTTTTATATTTTTATTTATACTTATCTATATTTATATTTTTATTATATTTTAAATCTTTTTAAATAAAAATTTTTACCTAGCTTTTACCCTCTTCTCCTTTTTCTTTTTCAATATAATTAGTTTATATTGCTGCCAATAAAACAGTTCTCAGATGTATAACTTAACGCCTTGAGTGCCTTGAAAGATCACCCTCAAATACAAACATACATATTCCATTCTAGATGCAAAAGGTAAGTTCCACAAAAGATTGTCGTAAAGAAATATCAACTTAACATCTTCCTTTTTCAATTCACTTTCAATTTAAAATTAGAAACGAGTCTTGGCAACAACAACAACAAAATTGGTCCCTGAATGAATACAAACAAGCATACTTAATGATTCCAATCGACTTTTTGAAAACCATGTATCTTAAGGGAAAATTCCCTTTTGAAATATTAACATTCAAATTGTTAAACCTAGTGGGGAAAAAAAAATCTTGTATTTTATTGGTTCCGGGGTTTATATACACTTATGCCACTGCCCCCCACCCTCCAGCACTGTTTGAGACAGCAGTTGGTGAGGACCACCGAGGGGCTGGAGCTCTGTGTCCTTAGGACAAGTATTTTGGTTCACAGTCCCAGCTCGGCTCTCTCTAGCTGTGTGATCCTGAACCAGTCCCTTGAACTCTCTGGGCCTCAATTCCCTTCTCTGTAAATTGAGGTGTTATCAGAGTTGTGAAGGTCAAATGAGAAGTCCTTCTCCCACCAGAGATGTGTGAATTAGCTAAGAATGGCTGTTGTCTCTATTTTTACAGACTAGAAAACTGAGTCAGAAGAGTTCAGAGATTTGCTTAAGGTTATACAATCAGGAGGAATCAGCGTTTGACTCATCCTCAGAATTTGTCTCCAAATTGAGTGCTGTTTCCCCCTTTCTACAATTATCTCCCACTTTAACAATGAGAGTGTACGGCTGCACTTAGAAAAGGTTAAAAATAAGAATACTCCAATGACAGCCACAATCAGAAACTGACAGTGAGAATAACTGTTTTTACGTTCGCACAGTGTACCCATCTAAAGAGAGCAAGAACGATCACCCTGAGGCTTTAGAGATTTAACTAAGGTTTTACTAGCAACAAAATATCATCATACTTTACAATTACAGCTAAATACTAGTTCTTTTAGCGACTGGGGCTAGTTTCTTTTCTTTTCTTTTTTAACATCACTCCCTCCTCCTGGCCTCTGTAACCAGGTGCAGCTCTACAGTGTGTTACACAAATACAGTTGATCTTCATTCACTGTCACTGTGTTCTGTAAAATTGCCAAGAACACCAAGTTAGCGAATTCCTAGGGGAAACAGGGTTAGGTTGCTGTGAGCCTCCGGTGACAACATTTTTGTCACCAATCAATACATAACCCTGTTTCATGTTTGTTTCTGTTTAAAGATACTTTATTTAACATATATTGTTGATTCATTCACACTGAACTCATAGCCAACCGCACTATAACTCATGCCTGAACGAAGCTCGTCTAACACACGTATTTTTCTCCATAAGGCTTTCTTGTGCTTAGGACACTAGACAGCACTTCGGCACTGCACTCGGGGCCATTTTAAACAGCATGATCATCAATAAAAAGCACAAAAATTAAAAAAAAAAAACCAGGGCATTAAAGAGATTGTGGAAAGGGATGCTTTTTCCAGTATAAAAGCCAATACAGGAAGGCAGAGTGCAGCCTTGTTCAGCCTCTGCTGGGAACGTGTGCACTGGGCAACTCAGAATTCTCGCCGCTCTGCATCTGGCCATAAATGACCGTAGAAGCACCATCTGTATTAATTTGGAGGTTACAAATACATTTTAGCTAAGAGGTGAATTCACAAATATGGAATCTGCAAATAATTGTAGGAAAGATTATATGTACTTGGAACAGGAAGAGGCAATGGGAAAGGGGGCCACTGGCATTGAGACTGCTCTCCTGTTAAGCAGGTGAGTGGACAAGTACCCCAGCCAACCTTAGTCCTCTTGCCTGTGAAGGGAGGAGGCTGTATTAAATGAGGTCTAAATATCCTCCCAGCAATAACATTCAGTGATACAGTTCATGATCCTCCTATGGGCATGGAGCATACAAGTTTATGTAGACTGTAAGACTATATGGATTAATGGAGCCAACTTTGTGACTGTAGGCAAATACTTAAGCTCTCTGAACCTCATTTTCTTTACAAAATGAAAACATCTATTTCATAGAGTTGCTGGGGGAAAAAAAGACTGGAATAATAAATAAAACCATAATGTATGCAAAGTACCTAGAACACAGGGAGCACTAAAATGTTAATTCTTCTTTCTTGAAAACCCTGCAGATTCATGTAAACTTTTTCAATCGTATGCTGGGGAAAAGGGTTATTTAATAACTTCATAATGTCCAAGAATGATCAATGACCGTATGTTTTATGAAGAACCTGTTGGTTTCTAAAGTGGTAATATAATATGTCAAGATTTTTCCTGAGTTATCTGCCAGTTAGTAGGTTAAATGCAGCTGCCCAGCCCACAGCAAGTAGTCAAAATTCCCTGGTTTACTTATTCACTGATTCACTCAACCATTATTCCACAAATGTTTCTGGACTACCTACTATGTGCCAGGCACTGTTCTAAGCCCTGGAGATAAAGCAGAAAACAAAGTAGTTAAGTCCTTGCTTTCCAAGAGCTTATGGGCAGACAATAAGCCAGTATCTAATGAAATGTCCGGTGACAGTCAAGGTGAAGAAGAAAAATAAAGTGGGCTAAAGGGATAGACAGTGCTGGAGGGAGGAGTGCTTCCTGAGACAGGGCCATCAGAGAAGGTCTCTTTAAGGAGCTACATTTGAGCAACGACCTGAATGGTGGGAAGGGGAGAACCCAGAGATGATCCAGGCAGAGGAGGGCCATGCAGGACCCTGAAGTAAGAATGACAGTGTGTGCTGGATAAACAACACGAAGGCTGGAGGGGCCAGGGTGTGGGCTCAAGAAGGGAGAGCAGCAGAAGAGACCCAGAGCGGAAAGAAAGGCCAGCTCCTGGAGGCCAAGTACACTGTAGTAAGGGCTTTGGACTCTACACTGAATGTTTGCTGAACTTTTTTAAATGTGATGCAACCATATTGAAAGGATGAGGGGAGGGGAAAAGGGTGAAAGAGAGAAATTTTCATTATCAATAGACAATGCCTAAAACTGAAAAATTAAGAAATAGGAGAATGAGCATTTTATTTAGAAATATGAAGGTAAACTACCAGAAGAAAGGGCCAAATGAGACAAAAGTTGTTGCCTGTGGGGTACAGAACTCCAGAATGGAGAAAAGTGTGGTGGAAAATAGCTGGTTTCTTTAAACATCCTGTAGAACCACTAGACTTAAACACAAGCTCATGTGCACACAGACACCGACACAAGCAGGAAAATTCCGACTTCTGGTCAGAGGGCTGATTGAACCCAATTTTTTATCACTCCTTCCTCCAAAATCTATTGAAATGAAAAAAGGAATATAAAAGTAAAAATAAATCAGTACTTCTGCTGGAAAGACAGGAGAATGTACCAGCAGCAGACCAGAACATTTAGGAATTTCTGGACGACACAGAGGATTTGGGATCAGATAGATTATTAAACATAATATTCCTGATTAAAAAACCTCACACAAGCCTAAGAGAAAACCTCGAAAAGTGAGTTTGCCAGCACAGTCCCACCAAATTCGTAAAATGATAGACCCATTTCACCCCCATCAGGCTGCCGTCAGCAGATAACTATAGCTCTCTAGAGTGGGAATACTGACACTGGACACTCTTTCAGAAGAGAAAATGAAAGCAGACACCCTGGGCAGCATGCCAGGGGATTTACAGCCACCAGGAGGGAAGGAACCCATGGAGAAGAGTTTTCTCGCCCCACTCCATCCACTATGCTAAACCATCAGCACATTCAGGGCACCTGCATCCACTACCAGACAAACAGGGAGTCTTACAACAGGTAGCAAGCTTGAAAATCAAAGCACGATCACAGGAATAAGACTGAACAGGCCCATTATCATGATGCTTTGCCATCACTGCCATCCTGGAAAGCCACTCCTTTAGTTCTTGTCAAGATGCCCCGAGACCATCCTGGATGTTGTCCTTGTCAAGACCTCGCTCTCTGACTTTTTATCAATTCAGTGAGCTTTTCCACATATTCCCAATGAATTCCTTTTTGAAGAATCTAACTAGACTCAGAGCCTGTTGCTTGCAATGAAAAAACTCTTACCGTACAAAAAGATGGCTGAATGGCAATTAATAAGCTTAATTTAATGCTATTATCATATAGTTACATATTTTTAAATATTTATAATATATACATCATGGTACATAATTAATAAGCTTAACTTAATGCTAATACAGAGAATGCACATTCTTTTCAAAAGCCTATGGAACATTTACAAAATGATCTCTTAGGTAACACACACACATACACACATATCAAAATATTCCAAAAATGTAGAAACACATGGGTCACCGTGTAAAACAAAACAGAATTTAAAAAACCCAAAAATTAATACCAAAAGCATATCCAAACTTACTCACTTGGAAAGAAATAAAAGCTGAAATTACAGAAAATTTAGAAAATAATGGTGATAGGAACATTGCCCGACAAAATCTATGACAACATATGATAACAAGACTCTAGTGATTTTCTCTTATAGCCTTAAATACATTCATCAGAAACCAAGAAAGATGGAGAAAAAGTAAATTAAGTGGTCAATTCAAAAAGTTAGAAAAAGACAACAAAATAGATACCAGGTTAATAGAAAAAAATGTAAACTACAAAATGAAATTGAAAAAAAAATAGACTTGGTCAATAATACCAAAATTTGATCTTTTAATAAATGAAAAGAGATAGCTAATCAAAATTATTAATGAGAAAGAGAGCATATGAAAATTATTTTTTAAATTATGAGAGCATTTTTTAAGTCTGGGAGTCAAGAAGGCCTTAAGCAAGGCCTTAGCAAGATGCAAAATCAAAAGCCATAAAAGAAAACACTGAAATATTGGACTCCATTAAAAAAAAGTTACAATGTTTGAAAAATGAAAGACTCCATAAACAAAACTGACAAATAAGTAAACTAGAAAATACCCATTACAAATGTAAGAGTTAAAAGCCATAACTGTAAAGAGCTGCTATAAACTAAGAACATCACGTACACATCCAAATTTGTTAATGCACAGGAGCTATACAAAGCTAATTTTTAGTAAAAGAATGACCAATAAACATTTGAAAGAATGTTGAATTATACTAGTAATTAGGAAAGTTTAAAACAATTAAGAGACCATTTTCCACCCATCAGATCAGCAAAAATTTCTAAATATAACACAGTGCTAAAAATGCTGTGAGGAGACATGCACTCTCATACACTGTTAATAGAGAATATAAATTGCCAGTATTTTTGGAAGACAGCTTAGCAATTTGTATGAAAAATTTTAATGTTCACACTCCTTTCAATCAGTCAGGCCGCTTCCAGAAATCTATCCTACAGAAATATTTGAACCCGTGCACAAAGATGTATGCACACACATGCTCACTGAAGCATTTTTTTTGGATTAGTGAAAAAAATGAAACTTTCTAGGTTCATCGGAAGGAAAATGATGAAAGGACTGCTGAGCAGCCTTTAAAAACAATGAGTAAATCTATAGATACATACATGAAAAAATTTCCAAGAAAAATGTTAAATGTTAAGAATTATTGGATGCAAATTACACGTGTAGCCATTTAAGTATCTGTGTGACATATACAGATACACAGGTATACAGGTATGGGGGTAGGTATGGTATAGAGACTTTTACATTTTACCTCATATTCCAGGGTTGTTTTAATTAAGAAAAAGAAGACAAAAGAAAACAGTTTAGAAAGAAATGTATTAAGCTGTAGTTGTGTTTACCTTAGATAGGGGAGAAAAAAGGGTGAGACTGAAAGAGATTTTTACTTTTCACTCTATTATAAACTGCAAAAAAAACCCCAAGTGTTCTGCATTTTTGTGAAATTAAACACTTTTAATATAAAGAGGCAATGTATGAAAATACTTTTCAAAGACAAAAGAAACGGACCCTAAGTTTACCCTAGCAATATTTCAAAGTCACAATTAAAAATAAAACAGGATAGTCATGGTGTTTTACCTGGTACTTTTCCAGCTGTCCTTCCTTTACAACGCAATTAGAAATTACTTTAAAAGAATTCCTCACTCCATTATGGAATATCACTGCCTTAGGTATTACCTTCCAGACCAAGAGCAAAATTTCAGCAGAAAACCCCGAACTGGCAGGGTATCACGGGCGGGGTGACATTCATTCTATTTCCTAATTAATATTAGAGCAGTTAAATCTCCCTAACAGTTACTCATTAAAAAAAAAGGTCACACATAAGTCATAAATTGTGTATTTTATTGGGTTTGTAGAACGGCATTAGACAATCATGAAAGTACAAGCAATTAAAAAAAAAAAAACGTTCAACTAATGATCGTTGATGGGAAGCAGTCATCGCGAACCTTACCCAGCACTTAACTGCGTGCACGGCAGCATGACTTTGCACAATGAAACTCTGAAGCTTGAGCATTCTCCCGGAGTATACTTTGAAATATAAAGCTACACAAGTAAAGGAGGCATTAGGTTTTGACTGGGACATTTTAAACTTACGGTGGGTAGAAAAAAATACAAGAAAAAGAACTGCACTGTTTATTTAGAGCGCTGAGCAAGTGGCCAAACCCTATCTCACACCAGGAGACTGATGTCGCCCACACGCATATTACACGTTAAGTCGCAGTGGCAGGGAGGGTGTGCGTGGACCACCACCTAACACTCCAGATGCGTGTTGCAGGCCTCCGAATCCCGTACCCCGCCCGCCCTCCCGTCTGCACGGCGGGCTCAAACGTCCTGACGCATCCTCACTGACGAGGCGCTCCCTCCATTTTGTCCCCAGTCTCCTTCAGGCGAACAGAGCGGCGCTATTTCAGAGCCACTCACTGATGAAACCAAGCCAGGGAGGAGGAGGTGTGGGCGCGGGACCACACTTTGCCCGAGGCCGGCGCCCGGGGCTAAATGGCGGCTGGCGCTGGGTGGAGCTGCCTGGGGCGCCCAGGGCTCGTCCCAGGGCGGGAGGACAAAGGACACGCAGGGGACGCGGGCCGCAAGCCAGGGCCGGCCGACTTCCGGGCCGTTGGGCTGAGAGGGTGGGGGCCTC